TAATGATGAGGCATTGGGTGGGAGTTACCAGATCTTAACTCAGACTCCTCTTTGCATCTCTGGGTCTTTGAGGATGAGGCTGTTCCTTTCCTCTGAGTGAGTGTGTGTGTGTGTGTGTGTGTGTGTATTTCTGGATAAAAGCTTTATGATCCACTTTAGAGGAAGGTCAAGAATTCCTTTAAGATCTACTTCATGGAAGAGGGGTGAGGGGAAAGTGGGAGTGACCTTCTTCTGTTGCTTCTTCAAGTATTTTGGGGTAGCATATGCTGAACCTCATCTATACCCCAAAATTGAAGTATCCTCTCTTGCTTGTTAATATTGTGAGGTTTCCTCCCAATTGTACAACTTGCTTTGGAAGATTAAAAAAATGGGGCATTGTAGACGCATGCTGCCATTCACAGTTGTGAGCAGAATTATAAACAAGCCTCAGGCATCTACTTACCATCATGACCAGCGGCACAGAGTAAGCATCACACATGGGGCACCTCTGTAGCAGGGGGCCTGGAATAATATAGCCTAGACAAGCTAGCTCCCAGTCATGTGCTGATGATCCCAGCAGAAACCAAGTAACTTTATTTTAGCTATCCTACCTGGGGACAGGAGCTTCTCTAAGACATAGAACTTCACTCTGAGTATAAAGAGTCAATGGTCAACCAGCTCTGAAATGTCTTTGGTTTTTCTGGGCATGTATTTTCTCATCTGTAAAATATGAGTAATAACAGTATATCTCTTTCAGGGAGTATTGTGAGTGTTAAAGTTAATACCTGTAGAGTGCTAAAGCACTGTGGTCTGGGCTGAAATGCTCAAGTACTGCAGCTTGGATGGTCTATGAGTGAGACTGTGTGCCTGAAGCCAGACAAAGGAATCTCTCCCTGGGTGCCACATGCTCAGATGGAAAGAGCGTCACATTAGTTAAAAACTGAAACTTCAGCAGGTAACTTCAGTCTTCTCAAGCCTGTTTGCATATCATAAACTCCTAAGGAGCTTTTTAACATTAGAACCTCCTAAGGAGCTTCTTTTTAAATAATATATATTTATATATGTATATATAAGCACGCATTCAGATGTGTGTTATTTATATAGTAACATTTGTTTTAAATAATTTTAGATTAGAGAAAACTTGAGTCCAGGTACCCTTTATCCAGCTTCCCCTAATGCTGAAAGTTTTCCTAATTAAGGTCCAATTTTCAAAACTAAGAAATTAATAGTACAATGCTTAATTAAACTGCAGGCTTTATTGAGATCTTACCAGTTTCTCTGATAATATCCTTTATCTCCTCCAAGATCTAGTCAAAGATTCCCTTGCATTTACTTATCTTGTTTCTTCATTCTCAAATATTTTTCTTTCATGACCTTGACACCCTTGAAAAGTCCTGGTCAAGTGTTTTGTAAAATGTCCCCCACTGTAGGTTTTTCTGATATTTCCCCATGATAAGATTGTGGTTATGCATTCCTGGGAAGGATACCACTGATGTGCTAAGCCCTTCACAGCCCATGAGGAGGTACATGATGGCAGTATCTTATTACCTTATTACCAGCCATGTTAACCTTGATCATTGGGTTAAGGTGATGTCTGCTGGGCTTACCCATTGTAAAGTTACAATTTTCCCTTTGGTCATTAATATATAACTTGGGGAAAAGCTTTAAGACTTTGCAAATAACCTTTTTATTTTCCTTTTCCCCACTAATGTTCCATTCATTGGTGCATCTTGCCCATAATAATTCTTACGCTGTTCTAGGGTGATTTTCTATTCCCTCAATCTTTCTGTATTTACTATTTGTAATTGCTTTGTAGTGAAACACTATTGCTTCTCCCATTTATTTATTTAGTCAGCTATTTATTATAATCATCATGAACCCATGGATATTTAATTCATTTTATGGACTTTATTATCCAACACTGCCATTATTTATTTTGATGCTCAAACCTAAAGCACTTCAAAAATATCTGTGTCTGGGACCTCTCCAAATCTTTTAACCCAAGAGCTATGGGAGTGGTACACTGGTGAGAGCATGTCTTTGAAGCTCCCCAGGTAAACTAAATGTTCGTTCCTTCACTCTCCCCACGTGCTCCTTCTTAAAAAGAAAAAAAAAATGCCTTTGCATTGTGCAAGACTTGTGTCCACATTGGCTGTTAAGAGTGAGCCACTCAGAGAACTGGCTCTGTGACCATCTCCCCATGCAACAGTCCACTACTCCACCTCAACTCATTCAGCTTCACTGGTCCCCAAACAGGAACTGGGGCACTAGAATCCTTCCTTTTACAATAGTCCCTGAACCTGGAAGTTATGCCCATGTGCATGACTGTTTTCTCTGGAATTGGTGAAGGAATTAAAAGTTATGGCAGCCTTTAGAAAGTCAGGTTTGAGAAGAGATCTCAGGAATTATGACCCGAAGCTAGGAAGGGCTTTCTAAACCAAAAGGAGGGAGATCTTCTTCTTGCCTCCTGCAGATCTGCCTTCCCAAATCCCGCAAAGCACTTTGCTGCTAGTTGGACAGAGTGTTCAAGTGTGGAAACAGCTCTCATTTACATGAATGGCTCATTTGGACACCTCTGAAATCTTGATTCCCAAATACATACATTTAATTCACCCTTTAAGTGATCAATATGGAGCCAGATAAGTTTTCATTCAAAGAGATGGTCTTCCTGAATAAGGAAATTGATCACATAGCATCCTTTAACTGGTTTCCAATTACCCTCTATTCCTAGGTGCTGAATCAATCTTGTGATATTTTTAGAAACCTAATTGTTTCTTTAGTCAGATTGATGCCAATAAAATGTCCAAAATATAGATGAATCAGATTTAAAACCTGATTTGAGATGGAAAAAAACTTAACCCCAAGTATACTGTGGGGCTATGACTTGGGCACAGTTTCCGAAATTATGCCATGTGAGCCTGTGGAGGGTTAACTCATGAGTTTCTGCTCCTTTTGGTTCAATTTTTCTTCATGTGGTTAATTCCAGTCTGAATTTTCCCTGGCATGCATTTTCTATATTGAAAATACCTTCTATTAAATTTTAAGGTAATTCCAATTTCTAGGGGAAATAAATCTGTGAAATCCATAATAAGACAAGAAAGGATCCAGAGTTTCACTATACTCCCAATTCAGGCATTCTAGAGAGGCAATGTGTTAATTCAACACAGCATCCAAGCCAGGATGAGCAGTGTTTAGATGCTACATGACAAAAATAAATCTGTCTTCCTGGAAGAACTTTAACCTAAGAGGAGAAGCTGCTCAAAGGTTTATTGTTGTCAGAGCCACAAACTCGACACCTCTCTTGATAAAAGACTTCGATCTCTGACCCCAGTAAAGTTGCTACTCCAAAAGCCATTTGTGTATTGATCTCCTCTGAACAAAACAAATAGGTGGCTAGCAGGATGAGCATCTTTGGGAAACCACGCTCCTATACTTAGCGCAGAGCCCAGTGATTAGAGGGGGACCCCAATGCATCGGGCTCTGAAAGACCACTGGCATTCAGAAGCGGGGAATGTGGGCCTTTTCTCCTCTTAGTCTGTGCACCAAAGCCTATTGGTAAGTGTAGCTCAAAGTAGAAAAGTTTATCTGCTATGAAACTTTGACTAATTTTATCATCTACTATTTAAAAGACAGAGGAGGTAGGGAGGACTGTTATAGAATGAACACTAATCTGCAAACGGGGCTCTTTAGCAACCCTACAATGAGACACAAACCATACCTACACATTCATCCTGCACATACCACCTTGAAATAAGCTGGTGTTTCTTTTTTGAGGCTGATCAGGGAAATAGATGCAAAAACATGCTAACCTGTCAAGCTACCCATCCAGGATTAAGGACTTGGAATTTCCAGACAAAGAAACCCTGATCCTTGAGTACACAGGACATTGAGAGCAGCAAGAGAAAGAGAGTGGCATCTTGCTTTCTCTCTTCCTTTCTCTCCCAACAGGATAAATTTAGGATCATCAGCTTCATACTTGAAGGAAGAACTTTCTTAAGAGAGGCTTGATGTTCAGCTGCTAACTGTTCCTTCAACAACAGAATTCAAAAATTATCCATTGCATCCCTAGAAGGCACTGTTCCAGGAATGAGACAAATCCCTTTCCTAATGAGCTGACAATTGACAAGTAAATGACAACAGCAATTTCAAAGAGAGATTAACACTATAAGGGAAATAAAAGTGAGATGGAGTGAAGGGAGGAGGGGTCAGATGAGGCCTCCAAGGAGGATATACTTGAATCGATACCCAATGGTGAGAAGGAGTGAACTTATGGGGGACAGTGTTCCAGGCAGGTGACCCATTCTCAAGTGCAAAGGCCTTGAGTGAGGGCAAGCTTGATGAAGTTAACAATCAGAAAAATCTAGTGTGGCTGGAACAGAAAGGGCAAGGCTGGTTGGGTTAGGAGAAGCCTCCAGAGAAGAGCCAGATCATGTAATATCCTATAGGCCACAGTCTCACTAGAGCCAGAAGCACCTGAAGGGTTTGGGATGTTACAGTTGGTATAGGGAAGGGTCTGTTTTTGTTTCATAAATGTCTCAATGGCTAATTGTACTAAATCGACTCTATGGGGCCAAGAATGGAAATAAGAACTGTAATTATGACTATGAATATGTCATACCTACATCCCAGAAGTTGAACATGAACATCTGGCCACACTTTTCTTTCTTTCTTTCTTTCTTTTTATTTATTTATTTATTTATTTATTTATTTTTGGGGTGTGGGGATTGAACCCAGGGCCTTGTGCATATGAAGCAAGCACTCTACCAACTGAGCTATATACTCAGCCCCTGCCACACATTTTTAATCTCTTTGTTTGACAATGATGGCCACTGCATTTATTTTACAACCTGAAACCTCTCCACTTGATTATTGCTTAAACATCAGAAAACCCATTTACTAAAATTTATTTGACTAGAAAACATGATCTGTGCTTATCAGCTTACTAAAGATAACATCTTGCCTGAATCAGTCAAAAAAATTTTTTTTTAGCTCTAATCAATTATCTCATTTTCCTCCTACAGGGATCCCAATCATCCTTCAGTACCTTATCATTATTATGAGCCCTTTGGACCTGATGAATGTACAATGTACCTTTCCCATGAGCGAGGACGGAAGGGCAGTCATCACCGCTTTATCACAGAGAAACGAGTGTTTAAGAACTGGGCACGGACATTCAACATTCACTTTTTTCAACCAGACTGGAAACCAGAATCACCTGCTATAAATCATCCTGAGAATAAACCTGTGTTGTGAGGAATGAGCATGCCAGACCATAAGGCCAGGTACCCACTGTGTTAGACACGGGGCACTGAACTTCTTGAGCCACCAGCCAGGAAAAGGGAACAGAATTGGTAGCTTCAACTCAATACCATGGAGAGATGCCCAGCAGGCATGACCACAAGACAATGCGGCTGGTTTGTAAGAACATATTGCCGAATTAATACACCCGAATGAATGCTGTCCCTTTGAAAGAGGTCACCCTTAGGAACTGAGCACTCATTTCAGTGATGCCACCATGGCTAAAACCACTTTGGATCTCTTTAAGTATTGCCTTTGAAACTGCTACATGAGCAACTCAACATTAGTTGCATTCCTTTATAGAAATACCATGTCAAAAGATGTTTTTCTACCAAGTTGTATTCTAACCTGACTTATAACCTTTGTCATATGTCAGACTCTTGTTTGTGTGATTTGTAAAAAGCAGCCTGAAAGTATGGACATGATTTCTGAAGAGCACATCTCCACTGGACTTTCATAAAGCAAATGTCCAATATTTATTTATTGAGAGTTTTTTAGTGTACTCTAGGCCAGTATTTTTATAGATTATAATTATGTGGTAATTTATTCTTCATAACTCTTTAATCCTGAATGATGGTTGGAAATGGCCTAGAATAGGGTTGATGAGTTACTGTGTTCACAAAGCCCATTGTTAGCATGCGATTGGTATTCGACTTGGAAATGTTGTGTCGAATTTTTGGAACTCCTAGGCAGAAAAAAAAATTGTTCTTTCATAGCAAGAACAACTATAAGATTTTGTAATGTACAGAATGTTCCAAAAGGACAAATTCGATAACCAAAAGTTGTGTTATTAAAACAAAAAGATGCTAACTAGAGAAACTTAAAGACAGTTTTTTTCAGTAACAGTTGATATAAGTAGTTTCTCTTAAGCCCTCATTTCTTTTTCTTCAGAATGATGTCACTGTGCCAGAAGAATTCTTAGGTTTTTATTCCAAATCTAAAACTCTACAAGCTTCTCATTGATGTATTGGAAGACTTTACACTTGGAATGATGGGGCTCCCATTGTATCAGGAACCTTATTTTGGGGAGTGTTTTATATTCCTGTATGACTTATCTCCCTCTGTAGTTGAAAACATATTCCTTCCTGGGTCTTCATTGGCTAAAATCGACCCCCTGCTTCTCTGGAAGCAACACACACACACAAACACACACACAAACACACACATACACGCTTCTGAGATATTCCCTGGCTACAAGTGCAAGGATGAGTCCTCCTGTGAGGAGAGGATCATTACAGGAGACACCCTCCCATCAACACATTAGCCTGTGAACCATCTGGACCCTCTCACTGCACATCTTCTTAGATTTACTGTGTTTATTCCTTGGTCTGAAGGAACATGAAGGACTCATTTCATTCCAAGCCAAGATCAATTAGTATAAATAAATTTTCATTTAAAGAAGTAATATTGTTTAAAAACTAGTTTTTAGCATACTAATGTTTTCTTTATAAATGGCATAGGAGGCATTAGTTTATCTAATGCCAAATTTGAAGGCACCGGCAAGCACTGTGTATGGAGACAGACACCATTTTACCCATAAGACCTGGCTTGTGATTAAGGCAGTTCTCTCACATAACCACTTCTTTTCCTTCTTTTAATTAGTAATAAGACTTCATTTGCTTCCAATAGCTAATACTATTAATTATGTGGAGCACTGTTGTTGAAATGCAAACACAGTCCAAATGTTCACACAGCAAAAACAAGTTAGTATTACTGTGGTGTGACTTGAGCTATCAAAAGCAAGTAAAAAATTGAAATAGCTGTCCAAAGCATACTGAATTCATTCTTTAAAATTTCCCATAGTTTTTAAAGGGACTATGAATTTTATTTGAACCCAATCTCTTCTGCAGCACAGACTCTGAACACACAATGTTTTTATGAATATATAAAAAAAGTGTATGATTTTACACAATTGATTTATGGCCAGCATTTACAATCACTTGAAGAGATTGTGTTGCTCATATGTAAGCAGCTCCTTTAACAACTCCTATATTTATGGAAATTTGGAAAAGCATCGTTGCAAGGCTGAAACTATATTATCTGATCTAATAATACCTCACACGTCTGTGTACCTGTGGGTTTTAGGTTTTTCGTTTTTAAAAAATCAAGTTTGTTTCATCTCTTTTGTAATTTCTCCCTTTCACATACTCAAAAAAAAAAAAAAAGAAAAGAAAATGAAAAGCAACTACATTCTGAAAAGTCCTATTTTCACTGGGAAATGTTTTAAATCTACATGTAGCTAGAACACATGAATTCATGCTTTGTTTAGAATACGGTATAAATAGGTATAAGAAATTATCACTTGGATAGTGGTTTTATTGCAGCATTAAAGAAAATGCCTAGAATTCTGATGGATTGTGCTGATGGACCCGGTTGTGGGCAATTGAACTCTTGTCTTGCCACTATCATTTCACAATTGTCAGACTTAACACCATTCAACACCATTAAACATAAACTCCGATATAAAAGATGTCTACAGAATCACGTTTACAGACCTCAGTGGTTTCAGTTGTTTGAAGCCTAAGTCATACTTGTTATGCTACATACCTTTCTCTTCCCTCCCCAGCTGTGTCATCAGCCTCCTCCTAGCTTTTAAGACCACAGTAATACAATGCCACAGCTGGCCGATCCATGGCTTCTGTTATTTCAATGCAAGAACATTTGGCAGAGGCCATTACAATAGATAGCCATTATGGGCAAAGAAACAGGAATTCACAAACAAAATCAATCACTTCAAATGGCCCATAAAAAGAGGAATCTCACATTTAATATTCTACAGTAAATATTCACCCACGAAAGCGTACATTAAAAGAACATTAGGAGGTAAATATTCAGTGTGCCGCGTGGGGACTTAGCTGTGTGATTTCCATTACCGTTAATGGGTGTTTGGCGACTCAGACCCTGTGCTTTGATAGCCCTGGTATGTACTCCGGAGGGCTAGAAAATGGGAGCAATTCAGGAACTCCAAGGTCCTATGGTTCCAAAGTTCAACCCTTTCTTCCAAAAACTGGCTGAAAGCAAAACACAAAGTACTATACCTAATACAGAAATTAGGGAGGCTTCTTGGAATCCTTGGGTTACTAACACATTTTTGTAGCAGATTCCAAACACCACCTCTCAACACTGATTACCTTTGTCTTCTGCAAGTCCTCTGAATTACAGATCCATTTGAATTACATAAGAGTGGAGGGAAACAATCTTATTGTGACATAAACATTCCTTCAAAAATCAAAAATTATTGATTTGGAAGCTCAATGAATGCGAGGTCAAAGTGGAAGCAAAATGTTGAAATTAAGAGAGTGCTCTTTAAATGCCTATGTACATATTTAGTAGCTGCCCAAATATTTGCCCTTGTGTAAGAGCAATCTTGTTTCACAAATATACTCTGGATTCTACTAGAGTGATTCGAGTTGTAAATAGACCTACTGAGAGAAGGCCGGTCTTCTTCTTCTGTCTGCGTGTTACATACCTGACCCAAATCACTGCTTTCATCCTCACGGCTTCTCTTGAGCCTCACTCTCTGTCCGCAATAATTGTCTCCTGGTTTTCTTCTGTGTTCCTTGTGCTCTTAAACCAGCAGTCTTGGGGCTGTTAAGGTCTTCCTTATATGTTTTTAAGCTAGAACCCCGTCTAGGAGACAGACTTGGGGTAGGTCCTACTAGAGCATTGACCACAGTATGTGGGAGGAGCCTCTGGTTTGGCCCAGGGTAGGGAGGAGGGGAGGGAAGAGAGTTCCAAAAGGCAGGCTTTCAGTTCTAAAACCAGGGCAGTCCTGCACAAACTGGGGCAGTGGGTCTCCCACTCAGAAGCCTCCTCAAGGGGACCATCGTAATAAGGCTGGGGGGGGGGGTGGACAGGAGTAGTGTACAGATTGCTTAGGTTTTAGCATGTACCAGAAGATGCTTTGGAATGGAAGAAGGTGAGAGAGTGGCTATGAGGCTTAAAACTGAACAGGAGTAACCCCTCTATTCTAGCTCACTCACCCCCACCTACTCAGGGTATTGAAATGCAAATGCAAAAAAAAAGGCTGAAATCCTGTTTGTTTCTACTTGGTGCCCTAATATTTATTATATGCTACCTTGGATTGTCCTTTGTCTTTATATGTATGTGTCCTGTTAGATTAGACTGTAAGCTCCTTGAGGGCAGGGACTGTTTTTCCTATGTCTTTGTAGCCCCATACCTAGTACAGTGCCTTGCACACAATAGGCGCTCAATAAATGTCTGTTGTTGATGATGATGACCTCTTTAATGTTGACCCATTGGATTGGTGTTTGCGTAAAAATATATCCTTCTATTTAAAAAGTAAGAGGTGCAATAGGTAATGATATAGTTAAATCTTATGTGGGTTTTTATAGGGTCAGTTCCCAAACCTGTAACATATTTAATCAACAGAGCTGACCTAGATTTGGGTAGAATAATGTTGCTGAATTTACTAAGTTTGCTAACGTTGGCTGTACTGAACACACAGGCGAAGTAAAGTTCAGCAAGCTTTGTGTTTTCACTGTTAGTGAACTGCTCTTAGCCCAAATTAAATTTAATATTGACAAATGCTACACCATATGCAGAAAGACAGAGAAGCAGCTTGGGCTCTGACTTTGAGTTGGACAAAGGAAGACTAAAATGAGATAAGGATAAACTGCCTTAAAATGACTGCTTCCAAAAGCTTCTGGGAATCCAACTGGTGGTTATTGAGATCCATCAAAATTAAGTACACATTTGTCTTAAAAACAAAATGAAACAAAGACAGAACTTTTGTTTCCATGAAGCAGATCCAAAATGGTCTTATTCCCTACCAGGAAGTGAGAGAAAAGAGAACTCTTGAAAAAGGTGTTCTTGGGTGGAACATCTCAGGCTCCTGACTCCTCAGCTGGCAGCAGCTGGTGTCTGGTTACCCCCAAGACACAGCAGAGGGCAAGAGAGCAGAGTGAGTCCAGGGGAGTTAGCTGCCACTGGCGCCTGGGCAAGGGACAATAATCACCTCCCTCTTGAGTGTGTGCACACTGCTGTTCCCCTCTTTTATCCCCTTATTTAATCACACGGTTTCAGTTTCATTTGTTAAAGAACAAATGCTAGAAGTCACACGTTACACTGACAAGGGTGCTTATTTCTGAATGTACAGAATTACAGATTTTCCCACATTTTCAAAATTTTTATTACAATCATAAAATGTTATTTCTTAAAACATTAAGGACATTGTAACAGGATTCCAGAATCCCAACAAGGATGTTATGAAAAATCTAGTACATCATGTCTAACTACTCTTCCTTCCCCCGCCCCCCTTTGGTACTGGGATTGAAATTAGGTAGGGAGGGGGACATTATCACTGAGTTACACGCCCAGCCCTTTTTATGTTTCGTCTACTGGATCTACTATACATTGCATTGCCATTTATGACACATATTTCACCATAATTCTATTATCTCATGTTTCAAATAAGTAAACTGAGACTGAAGAGAGGTTGTGTATCTGGCCCCCAGGGTGATAAATGTCAAACAAACACACAGCATGCCATATTATAGAACTCTGCTAAGTCCTTTATATCTGTAAATGCACAATAATATTTATATCACTAACTCCTCACAATAACCCCATAAGATTCTTTTATCATTTCCCTTCTGCAGGTGTGAATATTGAGGCACAAAACACTTCAGTAACTTCCCCCAGGTCATGCTGCTATTAACAGGGAAAGGCAGATTAGAGCCAGTCTATGGAGTCTGTCCTTCATTACCCTGTATGACTTGGCAGAAATTTAATCCTATAGGCAATAATTTCTATTAGCATATTCATGTAATATTTGAACACATACTAAATAATACACACAAGTATGAGGACTTTTAATGAACCAAAATTTTCAATTTTAATGGAGTCATGTTTTCTCTCTCATGTGATGAGAGCTTCTCACGTAATAACATCTCCCACTTCTCCTGATTAGTATTTTCCTACATTTTATTCTGAAAGTTTCAAAGTTTTTGTCTTTCACAGGGCAGTCAAGGCTTTAATTTATTTTTTGTATCATGTGAAGTAAAAGTCTCTTTTTGATCTAGATACTAACTGTCCCAACACACTTTCCTGAAGAATTCATCCCTCCCTAGTGACCTGCAATCCCATTTCCATAAATACAAGGATTTATTTCTGCTGTATGTATTCTGTTCGATTCTAATCAAGTTGTCTATCCCCATTCTAATACCACACATAACTTATTGTAATTACTACAATTTTGTAATGAATCTTAATATCTTATACGCATTCTCCCTCTCAACTAATTCTTCTTCCTGAGGAATATCGTTTTTAACACACTAATTTTTACTAAAGCACAATTTTCATTCAGCAAGTTTATACATCTTGTGTGTATAGATTAATAAGATTTTATATAGCTACAGACTCATGTAGCCACTACCAGGATAAACATACCATACACTGCAGGACCACAGAAAGCTCCCTCATGCTTTTTCCAGTCTCCCCACCAAGAAGAACCACTGTGAAAATAGATGTATTTTGCCTTCTTAAAAACTTCATACAGATGAAATTCTAGGATGTATATTTTTATGTCTAGATTCTTTCAGTCAAAATTATATTTATACAGTCTGTCCCAGCTCATAATGCAGCAATAGCGCTTTGATTTATTGCCACATAGGGTAACACTGCATTAGAATTACTAGTTCTAGTGTTGGTAGTCTTTGGGGTTTTCCAGGTTAGAGCTACTATGACTACAGTTATAATGAACATTCTTATACATGTACTTTGGTGGACTATCTTAGTCCATTCGAGATGCTATAACAAAGTGCCATGGACTTCATTGCTTATAAACAACATAAATTACCATAGTTCTAGAGGTAGGAGAAATCCTCAGGATTTAGCAGGCTTAGGCCCTGGAGAGGGCTCTGTTCTGTACTGCAGACTGAATCTTCTTTTATCCTCAAAAGGAAACAGGGTGACAGCGTTTGGGGGGGGTCTCTTATTAAGGGAACTAGCCCCACTTGGGAGGGCTCCAGCCCATAACCTAAATATCTCCAAAGGCCCCACCTTCTAGTACCATCACCTTAGAGTTAGACCTTCAGCATATGAATTTTGGAGGAACACAAATATTCAGTCCATGATCATTGACACAGCATTCATTTCTATTGGATATACTGTCACAAGTAGAATTTCTGACTCTTAGGATATACCTGTTTTAGATCTTAGTAGATAGTGCCAAACAATTTTCCAAAATAGTTATAGCCATTTACACCCACCAGCAATAACTGAGAGTTCCTATTGCTTCACATACTTGCCAACATTTGGTATTGTCAGTCCACATAAATTCAATCTTTTGCTGGCTGTATAGTGGTTTCTCATTATGGCTATAGATTTTATCTCTGATGAATAATGATGTTGAGCATCTTTTCATATGCTTATTGACCATTTGCTTATCTTTTCTTTCTTTTTTCTACTTTTTATATTCAAATTTATGATCCATCTCAAACTGATTTTGAGGCATGATGTGTGGTAGAGGTCAGGTTCTCTTGCATCTCCCTCTTGAGGTACTCTAGTTGACACAGCGCCGTTAGTTGTAAATGCCACCCTTTCTCCACTGATTTGGAGTGGTGCTTTGATGGTGAGTGACCTTACCACGTGTATGTTGGATGACTTCTTGACCCTGAATTCTCTGCTCCAGTTTTTTATCCTTTCACTGTTACCACATAATTTTTAAAACTTCATGGATCTTGATATCTAGAATTAGAAGATATTCAGTGTACTAATCATCTTCTTCAATATTGCCACTAATTGTTGCAATTCATATTTCCATACACAATTTTGGAATCAAAGAATCATTTTATTTATATTTAATAAAATTTGATGGGATTTTCAGTGGCATTGATTTCTATGGATCCGTTCAGGGAGAACTGACACTTTATTGATATCAAGTCTTTCAATTCATTAATATAATTTGAAATTTTCCATATAGAGAACTTCTTTCACGTCTTTTCATCTACTTATTCTTTTCTTCTTCTTCTTCTTAATGTGGTACTGGGGATTGAACTCAGGAGCACTCTACCACTGAGCTACATCCCCAGCCCTTTTTATTTTTTATTTTGAGACAGGGTTTTGCCAAATTGCTGAGGCTGACCTCAAACTTGCAGTCCTCCTGCCTCAGTCTCTCAAGTCGAAGGCATGTGAAACCACATCCCGCCTGTTTTTTACTTTTCCTTAAGTGGTTATTCTGTGCTATGATATTCATAAATTGACTTCTAATCTTTACTCATTAGTACTTCCATACTTTCAAGAAAATGTCAGAGCATCAGAATAGCTGAACTTCATCAACCCCCTTTCATGTTTTTGTGTTATTATTTTGTTTTACATTTTCATTATTATAATGACAAAACATCATCATCATCATCGTTGTTGTCTTGAACAGTCATCATCTTTCATATTCATTCTCCCATGTGTTTGTCATTTCTAGTGTTTCTCTCCTTCCTACAATTTATTGTTTCCATCAGGACTTTTTCCCCTAGTTTTAAGAATTCCCACTACTGTTTTTTAAAGCCAGATTTTCTGGGGATGAATTTCCTAAAATTTTGCTCGTCCTGAACATTTATATATATTTTTTCATTGTTGACCCATATTTTTATTGAACGTGCATTCCACCCTGAGAGCTATTTTCCTTCAGCACTTGATGTCATTCCATTCTATTGTCATCTTGTTTCCACAGTTTCGATTTAAGCTTTTTTTTTTGTCATTAGTATTTAGCAGTTTGACATATGTTCAGGAAAACATTTACTGTTTCAACTCTAAGTATGAATTTTCTTATGAGGACTTCACAAATATTTTCAAGTTCAGAATCAATCTTGTTTCTTCATTAATTTAATTAGATATTTGATTTTCATTAATCTTTTAAAATAATTACTTTTTCTAATTACTATTTGTTTTCTATTTGATTATTTTCTGTTCTTATCTTTATATACAACTTCTTCTATTTTATTTAGGTTCTGGTCTAATGTCTTACCTTGAAGAAACTAGGGCATTAATGTCTAGCCTCTTTAATTTTCTACTAAAATTTTATAATTATATATATTTATACACATATTATCTTGCTACCTATGTATAGACACATATGTACACACGCACACACATATATATATACACACATTATATTATGCAAATTGAATGTTCAAAGGTCTTTGGTTATTGAAACAGAAGGAATTTACAGATGTTGATTAATCATAGAATTTCTAAGATGTTAAGTATATATGAGAAAATTTCAAGAGTGACCATTAGCAGA